ACTTGACAAACAGTTAACTATAATGGTTTTTTTTTTTTTTTTGTTAAATTATGTTTATGAACCTCCTAAAAATTCATATAAAAGGTATTTACTAGAGATATCGAAAAGCTATAAAAACCATTACATATACTCAATTTTCAAGGGTATTTCCTACATTTTCATGAAATAATTACAACATACATAAAAAAAGATGATTTTTTCTACTTTATTTTTATTTTCTAAACTTTAAAATGGACATATAAGTAGCTAGCTAAGTAGACTTTCTCTTGAAATTACTTTATGTTATTAATCTATACACTTGCACTATGTAATTAATCTACATACACCTTTTTTTAAGACAAAGCAATAAATAAAAATAAAGAAAAGAATGATATCAACAACGATATTAGAACTAAAGATTTTTCTTTTTTTTCTTTTTTTTTTTGAAATGGCAAAACTGAATATTTCAATAATACCCTTTTATAAACAAAGAATGATAATATAAACATTCAATATTAATGCTCAAATATAAAAACTCAAATTATATGAATTGATTAAATATATTATGTACTCAAAAAGCAAGTTTTTAATTAACTACCCACATGTTTTTAAAACAAGAAACACTCAATAAAGAACTTTATTCAATATATTAGATAAGCTATTAACAAATATGATATTAGTATGTCTTTTCTCTTTGGTGTTTACAATTGAAGTGTTCTCGGGCTAATTTTTGGAACTAATCTCTCACGCATAATTTTAAATACACACCCTCGTGTTATCTTAGTATATTTAAAAAAATTAATTTTTTTTTAAATACTAATATCACGACTTGAATCTTAACTTTTTATCTAAGTCGATACTTATTTATTAGTAAATTTAATCTTTAAGAATTAAGATTAATGTTTATCCACTGGATCTCAAAATAATTAAAAGAAAACTACATTATTTTATTAAAACACCATAAAGAAAAATCAAAACAAACTAGATCTTAGTTTATAAATAAGTTATTTAAATATTTTTCAATAAAATTATAAAAATCAGTAATTTTAGATTATTTTTTTAATTTGATTGACAAACACATATATTTTATAACTATTAAATAATAAGATCATAAATCTTAAATTTATAACAATACAGCTAAATTATACTTTCTTTAAACAAATTAAGTAAATCCATAAATATATATAAAATAATAAACAAATCTTTATATAATCAATTAATGATATTAATCTTAATTAATTGAATAAATTAGATTGTTATTGCACCTAACAACTTGACAAACTTTCAGGTTATTGACATGAATTTTTGCAAGGC